CAGCTGTGGGTCTCATGATGCAATTTTAAGGGCCGTGACAGTTGCCTGTGGCTCACAGGTCAAAGCCAGAGTGTGAGGCAGCCTTGCCTATCTGCCTGTTTTGCATACCCCACATATGCAAGAACCTCTGTGCTGTATTCACCTCCATCAACAACCCTCCATCCCTGGGATGACCCTCTTTGGGGAGTATAATCACACTGGAACGCCACTGCACAGACAAAACAGCACAAAATGTCATCAGTGGAGAAAGCCTTTAGCCAACACTTTCACATAGGCAACTCAGAAAAAAAAAAGAAGAAAAAATACGTTTGTTAAAAACAACAACAAAAGACAATGGAAAAAGCTCAGAATCCAAGTAAGTATTCTCAGAACCTCCTCCTGACGCTGTAGCACTGAACTGTCTCCTGGAAGCACAATCAGCTCAATTCAACCGTGCAAGGAAAGTATGACTGTGAGTGTGCAGGCAAGGGCTGCGCAGCTCAGGGCGAAAACGGCTCCATTCTTGCCAGTCACACTAGGTGGATGAAGACAATAGGGAAGGAGAAGGCCAGGCCAGGAGGTCCACAATTATACAATATCAGGGCCCAGGCCTTGCAAAAACGTAACCTTAGTGATACAGAATAAGGAGCGGAGCAATTACGCAAGTTTTCTGTGACCCTGGCGAAGGATTTATTTTCCTTTGATCTCTCTGCAGATGCATGCCATTCCCAGCCTCATAAAACAAAGATTTACAATGAGGTTCACCCGAGTGCAGCTCTGGTAACAGATCTTCCCAACCATGTTATGTTGTCACTTCTACAATGGAGGAAAAGCTTCCTAGAATGGCTAGTTGCACTCCTTGTTTATCCGCCAAAACCAAATAATGTATAACAAATATATGTAGAAATGATGACAGCAACAATATTTAGTAAGAGGTTACCTGTAAGAAGCCAAGACACTGTCTTCCTACTTCACATCGGTATCAAAAATGAAAAGTTCATAATACAAGCCTGTCTTTACCTCCTTCCTGAATGACTTGACCGATGGCTGTTTGATTTTGCTGTTTTAGAAAGCATTCTCTCTTACATTTCATTAACTGCGCAAAATCCTGCCACATTTTCATTTGCTTCATATTTGGCCCATGACTTTCCCGTACAGCTTTCTGCTTCTCTCGTAATTTCTGTTAAAATATAAAAATATTAGATTTCTGGAGCAGTCCTACGCCACAAAAATTGCTTACATAAGAAGCCTGGAATGACAAAGATTTTTATATGCAACTGAAATATCATTAACTTTTGTTCAGGCTGATAACACTCCTTGCAAGTGATAAATGCATTAACACCTGGGACTTGGATATCTGCTTTGTATTTCAATATTTTAAAACTGTCTAAATAATAGTCTTATCTATTTGAGAAGTTATGCTAAAAATCTGAGTTCATTTCCATACCGAGCTCTTGCAGTATCAAGTTGCACCCTGCAATGGATTCATATCATCATATGTTAAACATGAAATTAAAGTTTTACAATGAAACGCACTACTGCTTATTAACAGTGGCAGCTCAAAACTGTAAAAATTGCTCACAGACTGACTCATAAAAAGGAAACTAATAAAAGAAAGATGTTTGGTGTGAACTGGTAAGCCTAACGTCGTCCACGCTGATCTGCGCTTCACACCAGATTAGAAATGGACAACTGCTTTTGTTTAACACTGCAGCGCTGACGATCCCCTGGCCTTTAATAACAGTGATAAGGCTGACAGGCTCAAAATTTATTGTCTTCAACAGGTTGCTTTATATACAACACAAAATTTGAGCTGGCACAGTTTGTTATGCCCATGTTTCAGTTTCTTATCCAAATGGTTTTCAGGGAATGTGCTGTCATGTTAAGCTGCTCGACTATCTCTTACAAGCGGCTCATGCTATACTCTGCAGGAAATCAAGCCCCGAAGAGCGAGCGTGATCTCTTTTCAGGGTATTAGTTACCAATGCCAGC